ACTCGAGGAGCTCTTCAAAAATGAAGGGCATTTCAGAATCCATAAATGGGTACTCCTTCTCTTGCATTTCTTTTAGAGTCAACTTTCCACTTGACTTATCTTGGAAAGAAGTGGATTTCATACTCTGTTTCTTGCTCGGCTTTGTTGTGAACTTCGCAGGTGATGTATTGACACTCATAGCTTCTTTGTTTTTACACTCTTGCTCTATTTCCTGATTTCTTGCTTGTCATTCCCTTTTCGAGGCTCATAGATAGGAAACCTTTCATTTTCAGCGGAGGCCATACTTAATTCCATGTCATGGGCACGAGTTACAAATTCTTCAAAGGTGCTAGGATTTATACCTTGCAAGATGTAGGGAAGCCCGCAATGCATGCCTTGGATGCATATTTCTATGCCAGAAGCTTCACTAAGCCTATCTTTGCAGTTGAGGCTTGCATTCCTCCAATGATTGATAAAGTCGATAACTAGTTCACCCTTTCGTTGTCGAGCATTTGTAAGTTCTATCATACTGACAGTACCTCTTGTACTATAAAACGATTGAGAAACTCTTGCTCTAGTTGATCCCAGCTATCAATAGATCCAGTCTCGAGGTTTGTGTACCAATCAAAAGCATTTTCTTTTAGTGAGCGGACAAACTACTTGACGAGGTAATCTCCATATGTCCCAGCATTGTTGCACGTCTCAACGAAGTGCGCCACATGTTTCTTTGGATTGCCTTTTCCATCAAACTATTGTAACTTTGGAGGTTGATAGCTAACATGCATCTTCAACATATTGATCCTTATAGTGTACGACTTTGAGTATGTAAGGGAGGACTTAGCAACAACTTCATACTTATGCTTAATAGTTCATTCAATGAACTCCTTCAATTGATCGATTGGAATCATCCCTTTAGATGAGACAGCGATAGCCTTAGCATATGCTACTTGTCTTAGGGGGGGAATCAATCTCAAAAACTTCTGAGAGCTTGCCAGGCGCATGGGTGGATTCTTCTTCCATCAAGATTCCTACCCTGTCTGTTAGCTTTTTAATTCTGGCATCTTGATTTTGCATGCACTTAGTCATGCCAGTGATTGCTTCCGTCAAGTTTGCCAACTGCTCCTCCACAACCGAAGCGTTTGACACCATGACTTGCATGATTGTTGTGGACGATGGAGAGTAGCATGGATTTTCACACAGATTGATCCTCAATTGGCTCATGTTATGCGGTGTAAGTGGGGAGGATCCATCACTTGAAGCATCATCATCTTCCTTCACAGCAAAGTTCTTGGATCCGGAGAGGTCAAGCAGAGCAAGAATTTTCTTAATCTTTTCAGCAACATCGCTTCGTCCTTCGGGTGCATTTGTGGAAGATCTTGCTCATTATGCGGACGACACTTGGAGTGCTTGTTGTCCTAAAGAGCTTGCTTTACTCCTCGTAACTGGTCGAAGCTTCCAAAAGAAACATTGAGGATGTTTTCCACATCATCATAGAACCTGGAGTTAGCAGCCTTGGTGGATGTTGATCTAGGGTTTGTTTTCTTTGAATCCATTTTGACGTTCTTGAACTTTGGTGATTGAAAAGTTGAGATGAGAGGTAGAGATTGTCTCACTGGCCGTGCCAGAATTTGTAACAATAAACTTGCGTCAAGGAAAATAATCTAGACCGAAAATATTGCAACAATCGTAGTATTTGATTTTAAGTAATTTGAGTGTTACAATTTCTATGAATCCTCTGATTCCTCTTTCCAACAGTAAATAAATTCAAGATCCTTTGAGCTTGATCTTGAATCTATAATTGTTGCCATGAACGAAGATCTTGAATTCAACTAGCACGAATTTTGATTTGAACTTGTACTCCTTGAATGTTGATTTGCTCTTTGTTCTTGAGCTTGAACTTGAACTTGATTGCATGAAGCTTGAAACTTGTGGAGGAATTTACAGTGTTTGATCCACGAGCTCTTTCTTGCTTCTTGTTATAACTTCTGGTCTCTTTTATGGGTTATGAAGACCCCTATTTATAGTTGTGGGAGGGAAAAGTTGTTACGAGAACAAACTCTTTCCAACCAATCAGATTGAAGAGTGACAAAGCCGCATTTGATTGGTCAGAAAATGTCACTTGCACACGTGGTGCGATTTCATTGGCCTTTTAATTTGACTTGGCATGCCTTGTCATTTTGATACGTGGCATGATCCCATTTCTATTTGACTTGGAGTGCCACGCCATGTCATTTGGCACGTGGCACCAAACTGGGCTTCTAGGAAGATGACATCTTGGGCTTAATAAAGTGAGTTCATCGCTTTAGGCCAATTAAATGGGTTAGCCCAATGGATTAAGACATATTTATTTAATCCATATATATTGGATTATATAATCGATCCAATTATATTATCCCATAATATTTGTTTGGGCCAATATATCTTGAATTTAAAATATATTTCAAATTATTTTATCGATTTAGATTAGATAAAAATTTAAATGCTTACAGAAATATTTGTCAAAGTTTTCTATGAGTGGGCATAGCTCTGCCCGATAACTGTCACAAATGTCTTTAACACACATGCTAAATTCAAGAATTCGTCATGTCGACTCAATACACGTTCACCTAAAACATTTCAATATGCTATAACCCAATAATAAGGAAATCCAGTACTTCAATCCTCTATATGCTCAACGCAAGCAAAATCAACGACTGCAAGTTAACTTAAATAGATTGTTAAGAGAGAAGAGGGAATTGAGAGTCTCAAAGGTGAAAAATATAGTTATGGTGGAGGGTATTTATAGTAGATATCTAGGGTCATGAAATTTTTCAAACCAAAGAGCTACTAGATATTTTGGGGATAGGGAAAATGGTCAATTTTAAAATTGACGTCTTTTGCAGTCACTCTTTTAAAAAATAAAGAGAAAATTAGACGATTTGACAGCTTAGAGAGCAAAAAAGATTATCAATATTAGCACAACCCATAAAATATTACTAATATTGGCACACTATTATTTGGTAAAAAAATTTAATGTGTACTCATTTTTTTAAAAGATTTAACTAGTACCCAAAGTACAGACAACTTCAGGCATTTTCCTCCTCCTCATCCTCATCCTCCTCCTTCTTTTTTCTTAGTCGTTGTGGGAAAAAAAAGTGATGGTGAATTTTCATGGTATCTTGTGAGCAGGTTTTAAGGTGATTTGTGATGTTTTACAGTAGCGAGCTACTGTGGCGCTCCATTATTTGCTACTGCTTAGGGTTTCTAGTTCTTATTCTTCTTCTTCGTAATTGCAAAGGGGTTTATTAGATTTGTTGTTGTATTGACAAATTGATGATAGAGATTTATTCTTTATGATATTTGGAGATTATGTTGCAAATTTAAGCTTATTTGAAATAGATTTAGTTGTTAAATCATGTGTTGGATTGTTGAAATTCGAAGAACAAGTTTCTGTTTCTGGAAAATTTGCACTTCAGACCTATTTGGTCTTAAGTGCATGAAAACATTTGTTACACTTCAGACCTATTTGGCCTTAAGTGCATGAAAATATTGGTTGCACTTCAGACCTATTTGGCTTAAGTGCATGAAAACTTTTGTTGCACTTCAAACCTATTTAGCCTTAAGTACATCTTAAGTACAATTTTATACTTTAGAATTGACTAGCCTTAAGTGTATTGCACTTCAGACTAAATCTTTTTTCTTCGACTTCAAATCCGATAAATTTGAAGTTGATCCAAAAGTGAGTAAACTTGTAAATTTTTATGCAAAATGAGTATAACTTCAATGATAACCCCAAAATTAAGTATATATGCAAATGCTCCGGTTATTTGTATGCTTGAAAGTGGGTGAGCTCAACAGAAACCATTGGCTTCGGCCCACTCAATACTAAGTCCTTTTCCCACTTCCACTTCGTCTTCGGCTGCAGTGTTTTGATATAAAACCCATTGTATCAAAATAGATTAAAATAGGGGAAATTTTTGTTCCGATACCATATAGGAAACTATATTATCAAATATAGTATTTCTACAAAATATAGACAATTCATTAAATAAGGAATCATTGTAGTTGCAGGCTTCCTTATTTAGGTGCGCTAAAATTGGGGAATTAAATATTCTTCCAGATATTTTACAATGCAAATCACGCACCTTAATAATTATCGGCTGTTCCGTTTCAAATTTAGCGACTCTGTTTTTGCGATACACTGTGTTTCAACCTTTTTTCTGATTTCACAAATCAAAAACGACTAAATCTTCTACAATTCTTTTGCAACAAACGCAATTATGTCAAAAGTCTCAATTAGGCTACAACTGAATGGGATTTGGGATAGCTATGGGAGATTTAGAGAATTTCTGGTCGATGGCATTGTAGTCGATGAGGATGCGAGTTATAGTCTATTAATTTCTACAATAGCACAACAATTAATGATCGATACATCCGAAAAAATTATAGAAATCAAATACATTGTCAACGAGCATTGTCCTCCAATGAAAATTAGGAACGATATGGGTGTTCGTGTATACATGGAGATGAAAAGAAAAACAAAAATTTAGGATCATATCCGCTATGTATAACTGTTCGTGATTTCAATATGGAATTGAGTATCACCAATGAGAACACAGTTGTAGGTTTGTGCTGTTACATTTTCTATCAAATTCTGGTTGTATGTCAATGTCCTACACTTTATCTACATTTTATCTACAAATAAACTACATCTCGGAGTAAATATATATATTAGTATGGATTTTCATAATATCTATAAAATTTCTACATTTATTCTACAATAAAACTACATATCATTTGAAAAATTAATATGAAATACAGAATTTCAATGTTTCTACAAACTATCTACAAAATTTCTACAAACTGTTCATAACAGTATTTATCTTTATTTTCATGCAGGTTCGTCTGGAACACTAAAGTTACTTGATATGCCAACATCTCCCGTTATAGAAGAATATGAAAGTATAATAATAATAGATAGTACATCAAGTTTTATTGAAGTAGGACAAGTATACCAAAACAAGCAAATAATTGCAATTGCAATGAAGCACTATTCTGTCATGCACAAGTTCCAATTCAGGGTTAAAAGATCTAGTGCTAGAAGGTATGAGCATATGAATGGTCAAAGATCATTATGTTTTTAATTTTGTAGTTTATTTATAATTTTTTACTTCTTCAGTTTTTTCTTGTGATAATGTTTATTAGTATTGTAGATGAATTGTAGTTTTGTTATATATAAATTGTATAATGTGATCGTTTAAGCTAAAACAATCTTTTTCTTTTAAAATCTACATTTTAAACCAATGTTTAAATTGTATTTATTTTGTAGCTACTGGCAGATATGTGTTGGTGAAAACTGTACATGGCACTTCAAGGCAACTAGCATAAATGTTTCTGCAATGTTCAAGGTCAGAAATTTCAACAACCAGCACACATGCTCTTTAATGGACAAAACATTCATACAACGCAAACCTACTGCCATGGTAGTTGGTAGCATGGTTATTCCAAAATATTGTGATCCTAAGACAATTTACACACTAAAAGACATACAAAGTGACAAGTTGTCTGAACACGGCGTGAATTTAACCTACATGCAAGCTTGGAGAGCAAAGAAAAAGGATTTACAGTTTTTGAGAGGTCATCCTGCTGACTCCTACAGCAAATTGCCTAGTTATTTGTATATTCTGAAGAAAACTTATCCGGGGTCTGTAGTTAAATTGAAGAAGACGGACGATGACTGCTTCTTGTATGTATTTGTTGCGATTTGTATGTCAATCAGTGGTTGGGAATATTGTAGGCCAGTTGTAGTAGTCGATGGAACCTTCTTAAAGTTAGCATACAGAGGAATAATGCTAACAACTAGTACAATGGATGCAGCATGTATTGAAGTTTTATTATAGAAATATTATAGCTTGTAGATTTATTGTAGATATATTGTAGATATATTGTAGAAAAGTTTTAGTTTGTATGTATATGTCTTCTTCTGCATTTTTCCTGCAGCCAATTAATTGCTTTTTGCCACATAATGTAGGTATCATATTACCATTGGCATATGCTGTTGTTGATTCAGAAAATGATGCATCATGGAAGTGGTTTTTTGAGAAATTCAAACATGCATATGGTGAAAGACCAAATATGTGTGTTGTTTCAAATCGGAATGAGAGTATCTTGAAGGCAACATCTATTGTTTATCCCGACATGCCACATTATTCTTGCATGTGGCATATTTGGACAAATATACGGGCAAAGTTCAAGAAGGGACATCTAAAGTTAAGCGAATTGTACTTTGCCATGGCACGGTCATACACGCTTGATGAATTTAATGAAAGGATGTCAAATATTGAAGAGATTGACCCACGTGTTAAAGAATACTTATACGATATTAGCTATCATAGATGGTCTCGAGTACATGCTACGGTGAACAGAACTTGGACTATGACATCAAACATTGCAGAGTCGTTGAATGTTGTAACAAAATATGCAAGAGAGCTGCCGATAGTAGAACTATTAGAGTATATGAGGACCCTTCTTGAACGTTGGAAGAAGGAAAAATTATTGAAAGCAAAGGGTACATTCACATACCTTGGGTTTAAATTCAACAAAGAGATGGATGACAACAAAACATTGTCGCACAAGCTTAGAGTAAAATCTAATTATTTATTGAATCAAACTAATTTATATAGGACAATGTAGATAATTTCTAGATATTTTGCATTTAACCATATATGAATTGTTTTTTTTTTGTTTGTAATGTAATCGTAGGTGAGGGCTTGAACAGACTACATCCATATAGTACTAGATGGTCTAAGGCGCTATATTATTTGTCTTGAAAATAAGAGATGTAGTTGTGGGCAATTCCAACTTGATGAACTTCCTTGTCCACATGCTTTGGTTGCTTTAAGACACAGGGATGAGTCTTTTGAACAATATTGTTCTCCTTATTACACAAGGGAGAACCTCTTGCGTTCTTATGAAATACCAATAAATCCCCTGCCTAATGAAAGCAAATGGAATTTGCCACAACATATATCTAATGAAGTAGTAAATCCACCTACAGGAGGGAAAAGGCAGTCAGGAAGACCTCAAAAAGAAAGATACAAAACATATGATGAAATAAATTCAAAGAAGTACAAGGTTTCATGTGGCAACTGCGGAGGAGAAAGGCATAACAAAAGATCTTGAAGAATACACCCAAAAAGAAATAAAATTTTATGTAGCTAACAGAATATTTCATAAAAATTATTGGTGAGTTCAGGATAACAGAATTTGATGTGTAATTGTTGAGGTTTTTTAAGATCATAATGTAGTTAGTTATAATTTTTCTGTATTGAGATAATACTTTCATAGAGTGATTTGTTTGTGAATAGTTTCTATATATATAATCTACCACTTATTTACTATCTTTAGCATCCTTTACATACTTGTTAATGTTTTTTTTGCAATTTATCTAGAATATAACTACAAAAAAATTACATTAACTAGAATTTACAGAGTAACTACATTATAAATCAGTAGGAAAGGAGTTATATACTAAAATATTATAGATCAAGTACTGTTTATGTTCAACAAATGACTATAAAAGAAACAAAACACATTGTTAAATATTTTCTACAAATTATCTACAAAGACAACTACAAAAAAATTACAATAGCTGGAGCTGACATAATAGCTAGATTATAATTCATCTAGAAAGAAGTTATATTCTAAAAATAATGTAGATCAGGTACTTTTTACATTCAACAAATTGAATGTAAAAGCAACAAAATGTTTAGTTACTGATTTTTACACTTTATTTACATAAAACAACAAAATAACTACATATTTTTGCGTTGACAGAATAACTGTATAAAAATTCAGTTGGAAAGGATTTATATGCTAAAATAATGAAGATCAAGTACTGTAAAGATTCAACAAGTGAATATAAAACCAACAGAATGTTTCCATTTGAACTACTATACTGGATAAAAAAAAGGCTACTATAATTGTAGCGCAAGTCTGCTACAATTAAAACACAACAATATTGTTCAAAAACTTGTCTACCATCTTTCTTCTAAACTGGCATCAACTAAACAATTGTACCACATGTTCAATACAAAATATTACAACTACTTCTTCTTCCTCTGGACTCGTGTTTTCTCATTCAAAGTTGGTTCACCTTTTCTCCTTGCCAATTTGCCTGTCACATCACTTTCACTAATTGTCTCATGCTCCTGCTTCTTTCTCGCATAGTCCCAAAGTAGTGCTCCATAGCGTCTACGATGTTTGTCAATATCAGAAAGGTCTTCTGCTGGAATTGATAACTCTCCAAGACTAACATACTCTGCAAAGGCAGCAACAAATACACCACAATCACTGCAAAGATAAAAAAATGTTAATATTTACCAAACGATTAGAAAAAAAAGGTTAAATGAATAGAAAGAAAGAAGATTTTTGTTACAGTGATCCTTCTTTTTGCTGTGGTATCTCTCTGACGATCCACTGAATGTTAAGAGGGTCGGTAACAGCTTTCTCAACGTATGCCTTTGTATTCTTGAAGTTGATGTCTTTATGCTTCCCATAAAATCGGTGCATGACAAATACAAAGGAATAATAACAGAAAACTTGTCGACACAAGATTCAACAATAGGGTGATTGCGTGAAGAGATCATGGAATCATACGCATAAAGTTGCATGTCTGCAATGTCAAAAACAACCAACACCCAATGAAATTTTTCTACAATGTTGACGGGCATGATAACATAATCAACTTCATCCCATGCAATATTTTCCAGTAGTATATACCCCAATATATATTCTGCTACAACGTCCTGGGGTTTGACAACAGAAAACTTCTTTTCTTGAGGAGAATTTTGGAACTTTTCGTAAATTTGATCAATCCTAGTCTTGAACAAACAATTGTTGTAGTAAACCTGGTCTTGTTGTGGGGGCCATACATGCCTCTTTTCCTCAAGTAATACATTATAACATTAATGTGTTGCAACAAAAATAGATCGCACTCATACTAAAATTTATCTTCAAATAATCTACACAAAACTACAAAATTACTACAATTCATCTACAATCAGAATACAAATTATCTACAATCAGAATACAAATTACCTACAAATTATCTACAAATCAAATACATTGAATCTTACCGAGTCATTGAGACTTGTCCGAGTTGTGCCAGGGAAAAGAACCACTCCTTTTTGTCAACCTTTTTCACTCTAAGATCTAACCATGGCTTAATTTGGTTACCCTTTATAGAGTACGGAGCCTTATTCCTATATAAACAAATAGAAATTAAAATTAAATTGTTGAATGAAGTGGATGTGTAAAAGATGAATACTGGAATAAAAGTATCAAATTGTGCAAACTAACCTCTTTGAACCTGTGTCGGTACCGTGGTATAACCACTTGTGGAATTGATCCAACAACTCAGGATCTACATTTTGACCAATAACACTAGTAAATGGGTGCTTGAGGTGAAAAATTTGAGGTTCAACCGAGGTGCTGCCACCAGAACTGTATAAAGGGAGAAATGGTAATCGGGCATGCTTTCCCGGCTACCTTGTTCTACCTTGATGCACGGGTATTGTTTCATCTTGTATAAGCTCGCCGAACTTAACCAACTGGGAGAAGTTATCAGGTAGCTCAAAATCATCAAGTGTAACCTCCTTCTTCTCATCTCTAGAGTCCTCTGAATCACCTACATTCACATACTCTGCCTCTTCACCTACATTTTCATCTTCCTCATTCTGCTGTTCTCTTTGAGCTGCTACTGTCACTCCGTGAATTGGAGATTGTGCATGCACATCTTCCCTCTCTGTAACACCATGTATATCTAGCTTAATAGAATGGTAAAAATATTGAAACATAAAGCAAATATCTCTGAATACGATTTCATACCTACATTCTCTTCATCAACTACACCTTCAAAATGTGTATATAAATCAATACGTGTTGGATGATTTTCTTGACCAAGTGCACCTTCAACATGTTCTATTTTTTTCATTAGAAATGTAAAATCATACTGGATAGTACTGGCTTAACATTTTAAGAAGATATGTAGGTGTGTTATAAGATCTACATAAATCTGTAGAGCTGTGTTAATATGTTGTATTTATTTATACATAATTTGTATATATGATGTAGACAAATTGTAAATATTTTGTAGATAACTTGCAGATATTTTGTAGAAATTATAGATAAAGTGGAGTTATTTTGTATATACCTGTTTTGCTGGTGCTGGCCTACAATGGTTTTTCACTAGTGAACTGAAATTGCTGATTGTTCTCGTCTTTTGGTTGGTCAGTATTTTTGGTTGAACTCCCAGCAAACTAAAAGTTTTATATTAGTTAGGATATATATTTTAGAGGTGACATAAATAGTTTTGTTAATATGAATAAAATTCAAATGTTACCTTTGCATCAACTTGATCATTTGGACTGTTTATCACCTGTAAAACAGTCTTGACTGACTCATTTATTAGCACTCGAAGGCTACCTAGTTCTTCAAAGACATCTTTCCTAAAATCTTCAAGCTTTTCATCGACCTACATATTAAAAAATACATAGTTAACTTCACAATATGTCTTAACATACATTAAAGAACAGATGCACTATTATGTATACATCACAATGTTGTTTAGGAATACATGTTACCTTCTCAAGACCTCTTTTTAACTTTCTTATTTTACGAAGAATAGACTCTTTGTCCTCTTTTCCAATTGATTCTTTGGGTTCCAATGGAGGAGCATCAACTTTGGGATCCTGAGAAACATGTTCAACCTTTTCAATTATGTAGTCAACTTTATCAGACAAAGACATCACTGAAAGCTCTTCAGGTGATTTATTTATGTTGGTGAACTGAATGAGGAAAAAAAATTAGCTTGATTAAGGCAAAGTATGTATACAAATTGTAGATATTTTGTAGGTAAATTTTATAATCATAAATAAAAACCCTTTACCTTTATCCATTCAGGCTTGATCATTCTGTCTTCAATTGCAGCTAACCAAATCTAACCCTTACTAGCTGACCAGTTAAGTATGCGAGGGATTGAATTAGAAATCCTTGTAGCTATATCAGTATTGACGAAGGAGCAACACTCATACAACCATACTTGCATGGCTAGTGGTAATCCTCGAATGAGATAAGAATGAACGAAAGGATTTAGCCTGTGCCTAACTAATTCAATCAACTGTCTGTAAGACTGAATACCCTATGGAAATGTCTCGTACTGACCAGATTCCACCAAATAAAACCTAAAATGATTTACCTACCCAATACGGTCTCTCTCTGAAGGACAAATGAAGAATTCTATGAGATATAGAATACATAACTTTACTGCATCCTCATCATTAACCCAGATTTTGTTGGTTATAATCTATTTTAGGTATGTATTCTCCACTTTTACCTTGTTTGGAAAGTAGCTGCTCATTATCTTACTGACATAATTAGGAGTGTAACCAAAGTCTGTCACCTCGGTATGACATCTAAGACCAGTTATTAATGAAAACTTTCTCAATTCAAAATTTAACCTCTCACCTTTTAACTCAGCTGAAAAATAGGAAGCATCAGATGAATTTAATTCATACTTCATAAGAAAATGAATAGCTTAATTTGGCATGCATAAATTAGGAAATGACAGTAAATAACCAAAGCATGTCTTCTCGAATAACTTCAAATCATTTGGAGATAAAACCTCTTTAATTTGGCTAGGAATGCTAGGATCACATAATGTCTGGAATCTAAGCACCCCATAATCAACATTATGGGATGCAAAAAAATGTCCATTATGCACAAAATATAAATAATCTCACATTAATACAGTGCTTAAAAACATAGATACATTTGCAATTTATCTACAAAATAACTTCAAAAAATATACAAAATATCAACAATTTTAAACAAATCAATAAAGCTACAATTAATCTTCAAAATGAATAAAAATAATCTCAAATTAATTCAGTGCTTAAAAAATATAGATACATTTGCAATTTATATACAAAATTCCTACAAAAAATTTACAAACCAGAAAAAACACTTATGTAGATTTTTAACAACTAAAACAAACGAAATAACTAGTGAAGAAATTACTAAATTCTTACATTTACCAATGACTGTTTTCAAACATTTTTAGGAGATTTAACACTAGGGGCTTTTTTGAATTTTTCTTCTTTTTGGGAGTTTTTGAACTGGAA